AGGGAGTCCAGGTAGGCGTCTGCAGACACCCACTCGGCAGGGAGAGGCAGAGGCCGTCTGGAGGGCGTTTCCCCGTTATCCATAGCTTATTACGGGATATCAAGTGCTGAAATGACCATTTAGATGCATGTAAAAGGGAGTATGTCGGATATAGAGCAGCGATATATAAAATCCTTCTGAGGCTTGACGGCGCTTTTTTTTTTTTTTTTTTTTTCTTGACAGCCAAAACTTTTGCCTGGGACGAACCGAAGATCAACGTCAACACAAACAGCGCATCTACAACGTACAATCTACAGCCTACAGGGACATCCAGAAGACAGTCTGCTGCGTCTATAGAGTGCTATCTAGATATATTCGCATTACAGGCCTCCTCTTCTCTTGCCACCATGAACTCCGATATGGACCCCTTTCTCCAGGTGCAGGCGTACGTCTGGCCCCCATCCCAGCTACCTACCTACATACGTACAACACATCTAACCACGATCTATAACAGAGACATCCTATCTACTCTCTCTACGACACGGCCGCTCTTTTCCTCGTACCAACGGATACGCTCCCTTGCAACCTCGCCGTCAAACCCCGAACTCATCCAGGCGCGCGAGGAGCTCGAGGCTACAGTCGCAGACCTCAGCGCAGACCTAAAAGACCTCGTCGAAAGCGTGCGAGCAATCGAATATGACCCCTACCGATACGGGCTGGAGCTGGACGAGGTCGAACGGCGTCGAAAGCTGGTTGACGATGTAGGCAAGGAAATCGAGGAGATGCGACAGGAGCTTCAGCGGACTGTCCACGAGCACCCCGGAACGACGGGTAAACGAGCATCGTCAGGACCATCTTCGGCGTCAGCAGCAGCAGCAGGGGGAAGTGGACTGCCTGCTCCGTCTACGTTTGATAACCTTCTTGATGAGGAGGGCCAGGAGCGAGGGGAAGATTATTACTCTGAGATGGAGCAGCAGCGGCAGGTTGAGCTGATGCAGGACCAGGACCAGCAGCTGGACGGGGTGTTTCGGACGGTGGTGAATCTACGGCAGCAGGCGGATGATATGGGGCGGGAGCTGGAAGAGCAGTCTGTGATGCTGAAGGATGTCGATACGCTTGCTGAGAGGGTTGGGGGTAAGCTGCAGGACGGCGTCAAGCGGGTCGGGCATATCATCAAGAAGAACGAGGGTGAGTGGGCGTTATCTTCCTTTCCGCCGTTTTCCATCGATACTAATACTAATATGAGACAGATACAATGTCGAGCTGCTGCATTGCGGTTTTGATAATGGTACTGATCCTACTTTTGGTTTTGGTATTAATCCTCTAGTATACACCAAGGTTTCCTATGGTTACAAACAAATATCGAAGGAAGCAAGAGAAAAGAAAAGAGAAGAGAAAGAAAGAGACGGAAGTCAAGGCACGGGAGAGAGAGAGATTAGGCCTTCTTAGCCTTCTTGCGAGGTCGCTCTTCCTTGTCGGCCTTTTCACCCGTTTCCTCGTCGTCGTCGTCTTCGCCTCCGGCAACGAGGGCTTCCATCTCCTCGACGTCGAGCTCATCGAAGTCCTCAAAGTCGTCGGGAACCATGTACGAGTCGACTATACAAGTTAGCAGGGGGGGTTCAAGAAGTCAAAAAAAGAAACAGGGAGGCCTACCGTAGGACTGGAGAGCTTCAGGCCAGACTTCTTCGCCAAAGGCAATGGCAACGTTCTGGCCATCGGCAAAGATCTCAGCAATGGCCAACGAGTCCTCTTCCTCCTCATCATCATCGTCATCATCATCGTCCTCGCCAGGGATATCTTCACCCTTGCGCCTCTTCTCGGTGGTCTCCTTGTCCTCCTTCCTAGCAGCCTCAGACTCCTTCTCGGAGACGTCAGCGCCACGGTATCCGAACCAGGCGAAGAAGCTCAGTCCAGCAGGACTAGCGCCGTCCTCGTCGCCGTCTTCCTCGCCCTCGTTGTCTGGAGCAGCCTGGGCCTCGACCTTGGCCGCGAGTTCAACCAGCTTCTCGAACTCGGGCAGATTCATGCGCTCGTCCTCGCTGATCTTGTCCTTCTTCTCCTTCTTGATAAAGGCCTTTTCGGCCTCGGCCAGGTCACACGCCGCATCGAGCAGGCCGTGGGTGGGATCCATGTCGGGCTTCCAGTTGATGCGGACAGGCTCAGACACCAGCCCTTCCCAGACACGGCGCTTGCCGGCCGCAGTGATCTTGAGCTCCCTGCGCCAGTGGAAATCCTTGACGAGCTTCTCGTTGGTGAACCAGATGTTGTCGTCGCCGGTGTCGAACTCGAAGGTGAAGCGCAGGGACCGGGGCTCGCCCTGCCCGGTGGCCTCGTCGACGCCGATGCGCTCGATGTTGAAGTTCTTGAGGCAGGAGGCGAGGATCTGGGCGTCGGAGGGGAGGATGAACTCGTCGATCTCGGCGGGCAGGTTGGAGAAGACGCGAGGCCAGAAGTCGAGGTCCTTGAGCTTGGAGGCGATCAGCTCGTTGCGTTTGGCGTACACGGGGCGCATGAGGTTGACGCCAACGCGCACTTCAGCCGTCAGCCGTCAGTATCAACAGATATAAAAGTAGATAATACAGAGAGATATAATGATGGCATAGAGGGTCTTCTTACTGTGCTCGACCTGGGCGTCGGCGAACTCGTCCTGCAGCAGGGTCATCTCGCGCTGCAGCTCCTTGGGCAGCTTGGAGGGCATCTCGACTCGCTCGAGCAGCGGCACCTGGTCGTCTCCTGCGTCAGCCATGTCCGTGTATCCTAGAGTAGCGTCGCCGGCAAGATCGCGATGGCCAATTGACAGTTGGAGCTGCAGTTGATGCTTGATGATAGTTGACGGTTGATGGCTGGCTGGCGAAGGTCGAAGTTTGAGTGTGGGAAATAAACAAATTTTCTTAGTCAACTTGGCGGCGTTAGCGGAGTTATACATTTAGAAGTAGATGGTAGTATATATATGAAAATAATAGAAGTAGATATGACATTATAGAAGAAGATATAGATTATTATATAGAACTTTTTGGCTACAGCATCCAGTCGAGGCCGTTGGCTTCCTCCTCGACGGGAAAGGCCTCGCGCGCATACTCCTCCATGCTGCGCCAGCCTTCCCACAGACTGCGCGCCTCGTCGACGACGGGCAGGGGCACTACGCCGTCCGGCCCAGCTTCGAGGACGACGGGCTTCTCTGAGCCGGCGATGCGGGCCGGGGTGTGGAACTCCGGGTTGGGGAAGTAAGGGGCCTTCATCTGGCCGAAGAGGACCTCGATGCCCTCGAGCTGCTCGCGGTAGCCGGAGGGGACAGACACTTTGATCTCGACCTTGGGCGACCAGGTGTACCTGCAGGGCCGCTGGAGGGCGCGCGAGAAGGCAGCGCAGACCTGCCTGGGGGTCAGCGTCTCGAACGCGAGGGCGATCCTATCCTGACCTTAGTATATAACCAATAGTATATATATAGTAGATACGGTGTAGACGTACCGGTCGCCGTTCCAGCGCTTGGGCCCGTCCTTGAAGAGCTGCAGTACGGTCGGCCCAACGTCATGCTCAGCGTCGAGCCAGGGCAGCGGGATATCAGGCGGGAAAGGCGAGCGCCACTCGAAGCCGCCGTCGGGCAGCAGCTCCATGCAGAAAAGCGGATAGGGCAGGCTGGTGAAGTTGTTGTGGTATATGCCGGCGTAGACGAAGGTGGCGGGCAGCCCCAGCTGGCGGATGTAGTTCTCGACGGCGAACTTGCAGCTCCAGAGCGGCAGGCTGATCCAGCTGGGGTTGTAGACGGAGTGGTCGGGCATGCTGCTGTAGACGTAGTGCTGGACGGTGCCCGCGCGCTTCGCGGCGTCTGCGAGGGCGCGGCCGATGGCCACCTCGTCGCCGGCCTGGGAGGTGGTGTTGATGAAGGCGTGCGTCGCGCCCTGGAAGAGCGAGTTCATGAGGGCGGCATTGTCGAGCAAGGGGCCATGCAGCAGCGAGACGCCGGGCAGGCTGGCGAGCTCGCGGGGGATGACGCCCTCGAGGGAGTGCACCTGCGCGCGCACGGCGTATCCGACGGCCGAAGCGACGCGGACGAGGGACGCGGCTTGACGGCCGGTGGCATTGACGACTGCGATCGTTCTGGCCTGTGGCATGGATGTCTAGATATATATATATTAGTATCAGCTTCTGTAGTGGTGATGGGGGTATCTGATAGAGGGGACCTGCCAGAGAGGACGGTAACGACTCAGCAGCAACAGCAGCGACTGCGCAGGCGATCAGGGCGAGTCTGGGGCCAGCGGCAGGCAGTCATCCAAGCTCGCCGTCTCGTCTATCTCTGTATCTATTGTAGCTGTCGATGTCGATGTCGATGCAGGTGTAGATGCGGTGGTGGTGAGAGTGGCAGCGGGCGAGAGTCAAGGCTGAACGGCGCTCCCGTCGCCAGGATCCTCCATGTAAGCGTTGACAGTCGCTGGAGACGAGCTCGATAGGGTCGCCGGTTAGCTGTGATCGCCGTCTGTCGCTACAGCAGTTGGTGTCGCCGTCGTGGTTGTTGTCTTGTATATAAATAATAATATAACGGTTAATATAATAATAGTCTGTATAGAAGTTGACGATGAGAGAAAAAGATCTGGCGGAGAAAAGGAGAAGTAAGGCCACCCGCAGGTAAAGACGCCAGCAACAGCCAGCAGCAGGCAGATTATAAGGGATATCTATTGTATTACGGCCGTCTGGGACTGTCTTTTACTCTCTTTTGCTCTCTATTACTTATTACTGTGTGTTATCAGCTGCAAACTCGGCTAACCAGGCGTCTCCTAGCTATCTCGCCTATCTCCTGCTATCTCGTATAGCCAGCTAGTTGACTAGTTAGTTAACTAACTTAGGCGGCTGCCCACGCTGGGGGATCTGGGGGCGGATCGGCCGTCTCGATCGCTGTCTGCTTGATAATTGATAATACTCGCAGCTGGCCGGCCGGTTCGTTGGTTCGTTGGTTGGTTGGTCGGTTGGCCGGCCAGGGGTCGCAGGAGTCTCGGTCGATATCACCATCACCATCACCATCACCATCACTCCTTGTCTTCATTAGATATCTCTGAGGTTTGTGATGTCTCTAAGGTCTGCCCAGGCTTGCTTGCTTCGGCTTTCAACTTTTCAGCTCGCTCGCCGTTCTGCTGGGTAGACGAGGGCACGTCGACACCGGCCAGAGCCCAGATATCGGGCAGCCGTCTGGCATGCAGCTCGGCGACGGCGAGTTCGTCCGCGTGCAGGTGGGCGCCCGAGCGACGCAGCAGCTCGACGTGGTCGACCAGGCCGGCGTTGGCCGCCAGAAACAGCGGCGTCTTGCCCGTGTTGTTGCGCAGATGGACGGAGGCGCCGTGCAGCAGAAAGTACCGCAGAATCGAGATCTCGGGCGACGTAGCCGCGAGGTGCTAGTATCTCGTTAGTCACTGGTATATAGTTGTATAAGGGCATGGCTATATAGTAGTTGTATAGTTGTATAGGAGTAATAGGGACGTACCAACGGGGTGTTGCCAGAGTAGTCGTGGTCGTTGAGCAGCCACTCCTGGCCGCCGCGCATCAGGTCCGTCACCTGGGCGAGATCGCCGTGCGAGATGGCATAGCCCAGGGCCGTCAGGGTCTTGACGCGGTCCGGCAGGGTCCCGTCTGGATGGCGGAAGCGCGGGTGGTGGTGGTCGGATATCTCGCCGCGTAGGTCCAGCGACATGTCCCTGGCCACGGACTCGGGCGTCGCATCGTGCATCGCCAGCAGGTAGGCCAGCTTCGTCAGGGCCGCCTCGGTGGTCATGTCGCCGCCAGCAACGACGCCGGCGCGGGAGAGCGTCATCCCCGTCGCATACACGGGCGAGACGCTCCCAGAGAGGCCTACCAAATATTAGCATCTATCACACCGTAGATATAGGGTAGACCTACATTGAGTAACGTTGACGATGACTATCCCGCGCTTGATGGCATCGGCCAGCACCTTGGTCATGCGGTTGTCCTGGCCGCTGGGCGCATTGCCGGCGCCAAAGGTCTCCAGCACCAGCCCGCGCAGCCCGTCCAGCCGCAGCACGGCGTCGACCATCTCCGGCTGGATGCCCGGGAAGATGCGCAGGCAGGCGACGTGCGTCGTGTCCAGGTTCGTGCGGATGCGGAAGTGCTCGATGCTGGTCGGCTTGCGCACCAGATGCCAGGCGACGTCCGTCTTCATCGAGCTCGTCGTCGCCAGCGGCGGCGCATTGGGGCTCGCAAAGGCCGCGAAGTCGCTGGCGGCCACCTTGGTCGTCCGGTTGCCGCGAAACAGCTTGCCGGCAAAGTACAGGCAGACCTCAGGCACCATAAAGTGGCCGGCGACGACGAGGGCGCCCAGCAGGTTGTCCGCGGCGTCGTTCTGCAGCTGCAGCATCGGCGTCTGGCTGCCCGTCAGGATGACCGGCTTGCCCAGGTTCTGCAGCATGAAGCTCAGCGCCGAGCAGGTGTACGCCAGGCTGTCCGTCCCATGCAGCACCACGAAGGCGTCGAACAGCGTGTAGTTCCAGGCGACGGCGCGCGCGATCTGCGCCCATCCGCGGGCGTCGATGGAGCTGGAGTCCAGCAGCTCGTCGAACTCGAGCACGGCGTAGCGCACCCGCGTGTTGTAGCTGCTCAGCGGCGTCCGCAGCGATCTATGGGCGACTCGCTGGCCCGATCCATCGACGGCCACCTCCAGGTCGCCCGGCTTGCTGCCGTCGTTGAAGGTCGGCGACGGCTCGAGGACGGCCTCGCGGAAGCCGCGCGCTGGCACGAAGCCGGACGGCGACGGGCGCATGCAGATGGTGCCGCCGGTCATGATGATGAGCACCCGGGACTCTGGCCGGAGGCCGTATTCCTTCAGCTTGTCCATCTATCTGATATTATCTGGGTATATCTTTGTTGATATTGTAGCTGTGGATGGATATGGGATGGGTATCTGGATGCTGAGCTGAAGTTGCAGGAGTTGCATGTTGAGTCGATACGGGCTGTGGAGCAGATGCAGGTTATTCCTTTTGCCAGACATAAGCCGGTCTAGTGATATTATGTCTATGTCTATGCTGTGAATTTGGAATCTGTTGGCAAAGTATAGGATGTTGTAGTTATATACTGAAGTGTTGTTGGTCTACACTGTGTAACTATCTACTGCCAATATCAAATGTCTACCAATTCTACACCATCTCAACATCATCCTATATACTCTCAATATCATCCTATATACTCTCAATATCAATCAATACCAATCAATATCAGTCAATACCAACCAGTATAGTCAGTATCAAGACTCCACGGTGTTCACGGGAGTCACTGGCTTGCCGTCGCCAAAGAAAAAGGCCTCCAGATTGTCCATCGCGATCCGCTCAAAGTTCTATCACTGTTAATACCAGTCAATCCTGATCCAGATAGTAGAATGGACGTACCGCTTGAGTGTCGACCGTCGCGCCCCCTATGTGCGGCATCAGGGTGACCTGCCAGCTGTCCAGCAGCCGCTCGTTGATCCTAGGCCTGCACCCGTCAGCAGACAATCCACCATATAACTATATAAGAGAAAGAGAGAGATACTCCTCTTCGTAGACATCTAAGCCAGCCGCACTCACGATGCCGGCCTCCAGCGCATCCGCCAGCGCCTCCTCGTCCACACACTTGCCCCGGCCGACATTCACCACCCGCACGCCCTTCTTCATCATCGCAAACGTCCGCGCGTCCAGCAGGTGGTGCGTCTCCTCCGTGTGCGGACACGCCAGCACCACGCAGTCCGCCACCGCCAGCAGGCTCTCCAGCCGGGCGTGATACACCGCGCCGCCCAGCCGCTGCTCGACCGCCGCGCTCTTCCGGCGGCGCCCAGTGTAGTGAATCGCCATGCCCAGCGCCCGCTGCGCCCGCTCGGCAACCGCCTGCCCGATCTCCCCCAGCCCGACGACGCCCAGCAGCCGGCCGCGCGGGTTCTGCGCCGTCGCCGCCACCGCGCCCTCGATGTCGTAGAAGTTGCCGCGCCGCAGCGAGCGCACCGTGTGCTCGCAGAAGCTCGTGCGCCGGAAGCATGCCAGCAGCAGGAACAGCGCCAGGTCCGCCGTCGAGTCGTTGGCGGCGCCCGCCCCGTTGCAGTACCAGATCCCGCGCGCGGCCAGGGCGGCCGTGTCCTCGCCGTCGTAGCCGTGGTTGACGGAGGCGACCAGCCGCAGCGACGGCGGCAGATGCGGGACCAGACGCTCGTCCAGCGGCGGCAGGTTGTCCGCCAGCGTGTTGTTGGGCCGGAAGATCGCCTCGATCGCGCTGTAGCGGCCGCCGGGCTGCAGCTCGCGGACCAGCTCGGGCAGCGCCAGCGGGCGGTAGTAGAGCACCTGCAGACGCGCGGACAGCTCGGCCCAGCGCTGCGTGTGGCTGCGGATCGGGTTGCCCACGTAGAGCACGACCGGCTTCATCTTGTTCTATATCTTATAACTATTATATTGGGACAGGTCTGGGGATACGTTGTTATTTGTTATAGTAGGGTGGTTGTGGTGGTGTTGTGACTAGTTATATACTTGTATACTCGGTGTTCGTATTAGACGCCCGAAATCATGGATTGATATAGCAATACGGTTGAAAATAGATAGATATATACTAGATACTGGATGCTAAAGGTATGCTAGTTCAGGCTCCAGGCGACGGCAAAGCGCTGGGCAAACTCGCGCTTGAAGATATGGAACGCCCGTACCTGCACCTTGACGTCGCCGCCGGGCACCTTCGCCCACACCACCTGCTCGACGTTGTTCGCCCGGTCAAACTCCTTCTTGTCGCCCATGTTGCCGTGCCGCTCGCTGCCGTCCGCCGCCGTCACGATCAGGTCCAGGTCGTTCTGCAGCGATGCCCCGGCCGGGTCCGTCCACACAAGCGTCACCTTCAGCGTCTGCCCCCCGTCCTTGGGCACCTTGATCACCAGCTCAGAGTCCGTCTGGCCCTGCGTCAGGGGCCCGCCCTCGCGGTAGCCGCTCGCCGGGTTGTCGCCTTCCTTTGCGGCCGGCGGGATCGAGTTCTTCAGGTTGACCCGTCCGTAGCCTGAGCTGCTGTTGGGCGACGGCCCGGCCTCAGAGGGCACGTACTGGCCTGGAAGCTCGACCGCCCCGTTGATCAGCAGCGCCTTGATCAGCGCAGCGGACGGGCTCTTGTTCCCGCTCTTCACCAGCGCCTCGCGGATCAGGGCCACCCCGCCTGCCACCAGCGGAGTCGCCATGCTCGTGCCCCCGTTGAAGAACCACTCCGGGTCCGCGCTGGTGCCAAACGTCGTGCTGGGCTTCAGCAGCTTCGACGAGCGTGTCGACAGGATCGACGTTCCCGGCGCTACCACGTCCGGCTTGATGCGTCCCTCCTTGGTCGGCCCGCGCGAGCTAAAGGCCGCCATCCCGTTCGGGTGGTCGGCTACCCGGTCCGTGTCGAACGGCTTGTTCGGGAACCACGAGGCATACGTCTTCTCAATGTCAGGCCGGTCGTTCTCGCTGGCTCCAACCGTGATGCAGTTCTTGGCCGCGGCCTGCGAGCCAATCTGGTTCTTGTCGATGGTCCCGTCTTGGTCTGCGTCGATTCCCGCGTTGCCCGCTGCAAAAAGGATGACCATGTCCTGGTGCTCCCACACAAACCGGTCGATCTCCTCGCTGTTGACGTTGTACGGCAGCTGCCGGCCGGGTGCGTTGCTGCCCCACGAATTGGTGTGGATGCGCGCATCTTGCTCCTCGTATGGCTGGATGAACAGCTTCGTCAGGTCGTCGGGGATGCCCCCCAGCCCGTTCTGGCTGTCCAGCAGCGACTGCAGCACAAGCGTCGCCTTGGGTGCCGTGCCCTGGATCTTGCCCCCCATCTTCTCCGATGTTCCGTCTCCAAGGACAGACCCGCAGACGTGCGTGCCGTGGCCGTCGGGATCGTCAGACCGATCCGTGCGTCCAAGAGCATACAGGTGCTTGACACGGCCCTTGAACGCTGGGTGCGTGTCGGTCGTGCTGCCCTTGTCGAACCCGGTGTCGCCAACCGCAACAATCTGTCCCTCTCCCTCGTACGGCAAGGCACTGGCCTTGTCCTTCGCCTCCGCAGTTCCAATGGGGTGGTCTCCACTTGTGTTTGCATCACCCTTGATGATTGGGACCGCCTTGTTGTTGAACAACACGGCTGCATGCACTTCATGGATGCTTCGTACCCCGTCGATGGCGGCCACTTCATCCAGATGCTGGTCCTGGACCATCATGCGGACCTTCTTGGCACCAATGTTCATCGACGAGGTGTCGGCCCTCGTGGCCATACAAAGGGCCTCCTGGATCTCCTGCGAAGTGGGATCTACATCGTGGTGAAGCACAACATCGACCATGCGGCGGCGGGAGGATTTCGGCACGGCCTTGGCAAATCCAGCCACGGCGTTAGGGACAGATGCAGACTTCATGCTTGACTGCACAACAAACATGTCCATGTAGACGTTTGCCCAGGTCACAAACGGGAGGGAGCGGATGGCAGCCAAGTCATTTGGCTTGTAGCAGCACAGGTACGTCTTCTGCGAGACATATTCCTGGATATCAACGCCCAGACGCTCGAGCTCGCCCTCCTGCTCATCTTCAAGCAGTTCCTTGGTCTGGATGAGAATGTAGTTGGATTTGGACGCATCCTCCGACTCGAGACCAAAAGCCCGGAGGACAGGGCCCTGGTTCTCGGGGTTGAGATCGTTTCCGTTGATCGAGATGACAGGCATAATTGCTCCTTTGACACTTTATTTTTAGAAGAAAAAAAATTGCAGTGAGGTGTATCAGATTGGTAAACAGTAAGTATAAATGTGCTTTTAGTAAAAGACTTGCTATCTGTTACTTTGGCAAGGAGAACAGAGGACAGTTTATATATTGAGCTTTAACGGGGATATCTGCAGGACTCTGCTGATAGGGGAAGGGTATTCTTGTAACCGGATTGACACAGCTGATTCGTGCAGATGCTGCGATCACCGCAGCTGTGACTTGACTGAACAGATCATATTCAAGCAGCAAAGATGGCCTCTTTCCCGCTTTTATAGACAGATCGACGGGGTAGGGACGGCAGCCCATACTGGTCTCCCTTCCCCGCTCCCCTCGATATCAGCTGCATGGCCATTGCCATGGAAGAACTGCCCTCTGCAGCTCGAGTTCGGCAGCAGAAACTCAAACACGGCCATCGTCATAGGAGCGATCCGTCCAGTCGATCCGACTCCACGCGGGACCAAGCTGCAGCCCTTCGCTGGCAGTGCTTCTGGCCCCTGATGACGCGATGGAAAGCTGAGGTATCATAAGACAGCAGCCAAACAAAGGTCGCTCCTAGACGACGTGAGGAGGCAATGTCCGGTGGTTAATAGCTCATCGCAGCTCAAGGGCATGGCTAGGCGAGTTTTCCCCTCCTCACGCTCGCCTTCGAGCTGCAGCTGCACGAGCGGCAAGCAAGCCACAGCTGCCCCTGACTGGTCAGGTCAGCAGCAAAGCAAGTCCTTGGTTAAACCCGGCATGGCCCGTCCAGCTGAAGTTCTTAGCTGAGGCTTCGTACTACCTTGGGCGTGCTTGTCTGCCAGCTCGCGTAAGACAGGAAAAGGAATGCCAACATCACCGGTTTGGGGTACAAGTCAAACGGTAGCTAGTTAGTCTAGTCAGTGGGAGATGTTATTAAGGAGTTACCCAGTCGTAGTCCTGGTGATGACGATGATGTTGTTGACGTTGCTGAGGTTGAAGTTGAAGTTGATGAAGTTGACGAAGTTGAAGAAGTTGGAAGTCCACGGGTTAAGAAGCGTCATGTGACCCTCTAAGACGAAACTCTCCTCCCTCAACATCAAGTGTCAATTAACTCGATGTACGGCAGTTCCGGGTATTCCACGTATCCAGGCATCTAGATTACGGGGTTAGCACATACTTCAATCGTGGCTGATGCAGAGTTATTGATATCACTATGCCAGAACCGGGGCCTGGCCTGTTCTTCGTGTTATTAGACTCGCATCGATATCACGTCTCGTTGCCTATTCACAGCTGGCTATCATTCGAGTTCAATAAAGGAAAGCAAAAGAAAAGAAGCGTACATAGGCGATGTATGACAATGCCCCATACACGTAGCTGGAGCTGTCTTGTCCGTGTTCTCATATCCAGGAGGCATATATATGTCTCGAGCTCCAACATCACAAAGTTAGACCTCCTGGCCTCTGGAGCCTCTGCTGTTGCATATTCGTCCGGTCCGTTGATATCCAGATAGCCCTTGGGTATGAACATGGCTGGGTCTCTACCAGGGGAGTTAATACATATCCTACCGCATAAGGTATATCGTGGGTTCAAGGGCGTATGATTGCTCAACTACTGCGTCCGAACTTTGAGAATAGCTTCTGGGCCTGCATACCGGCCTTCAAACTGATGTTCCAGCTGATAGCAGTGATATACTCCGTGGGACTCGGCTAGAATATCCTCAAAGTCGCGATTTGCATAAAAGTCCATGTACTCGCTAATCTTTCAGCCAGTATCCACTGGTTTTGATCTAGGAATTTGATAATATAGCCATCGAAGTGGTCATCTATCAAGTCATGTATGGAGTGGCCGGTGGTATATAGCTGTAGGGAGAGTCTGGGTGCGGCATGAAGAT